GACGGAACACCGAAAACGTTATATGACACTCGTGACAGGTGTGAATCTGGAGTTACGCGTATGAGCTGTAAGTTTAAACAGCTAGTCGACTGTTGGGTGCTTTCAAGATGAGGCAAAATGCACAAAAGTTTTCGCGCAACGAAGACTTCCCAACAGATGCGTCACCTGTTTTTTCGAAAAAACTGGACATTCGCAACCGTACACTAGAAATACAGGCAGAACAACAATTCTGAGTAGCTAGTACACGATTTGTCTTTGCCAGCTGTCTTCCAAAGAATCAGGAAAACCATACCGCTGAAGACGGAAGCCTCTTCACCACGACCATCACGAGCTCTCACACATCGGCTCAAAAACAACATTTTTGAGCACCAAACTCGATTTGATGATCATCCGCCGTATAGTCTGATTTGCCCAAACCCGATATTTTTCTTTTTATTACCTACATAAAAAAACAACTGAGAGGTGAACGTTTTTGACACCCTGAAAGAAGCGGTTGCTGCATTCAGAATGCATGTTTTGGAGATTTACCTCCTCAGAGGATAAGTGCAACAATTGCTTCACAACGCATGCGAAAGTGGTATAGGATTTTATGGGGATTTTTGAAAAACAATAAATGATTGTTCATTATAAATTTTTTGTCTCTGATCCTGAAAAATAAACGGCAAACCTCGTAATTTATTCTCTTTTAAACGCCTCACACGTATGCATTTTAAAATGAAATCGTCAATGAACCTGAAAGGACGCTCATGATTAGTTTTTTTCCTAATTTCTCCGTTCATGAGAGCATAATTTAAATATAATCAACTGAAGTTTCTTGTTATATGTAGTCGGAACTCAAGCAGATACGCAATTGGCCTAGAAATCGATTTCAAATAACATAACTGATTTCTTCTTTAAATTTTCTGAATGACTGCTAAATCCTTACACAGAAAAACGATATATAAACTTAGTTTACTAAAGCTTATAGATTGCGCAAGGAATTCCTTTCCTAATTATTTTTTAATTAGATTTTATTTTACGTTTTATTTCCATTATAGTGTATTTAAAGTTTTGTCTAACTTTTAATAAAAATTCAGAAGCAAATCAAATCAATTATAATTAATTTTGCTATTAAATTTTGCATTTACTGAACATTTATTTTAAATTAACCGTCCGTTCGTCTCTTCTCTCGGCATGACTGATAGAAGTGAGACGTAATAGTTAAACGGTTCGGTGCCCGCGCGCCTGTCGCCCGCCGCTTGTTTAATCGCCGTGCCGCCCGCCCGCGTTCGCTCGCGCAGTCGTCCGCCCGCCTGTCGGTTGCCCCCTGCCGCCCGACCGTGTGCCCGTCCGTTGGCCCGTCGGCGGTGCCGTCGTACGTGCCCCGTCACGAATGTTTGTGACTACGCAAGAGTATTTCACAGAAAAACTGACAAAATGACCTTGACACCTTCGAATTTGTTATTTACTGTTTTATAAAAAAATAACTTGGAAGACAATTTAATTATCAGTATTTCTATCTATATATTAATTGACAAAAATCATGTTTACTTTTTGAAACATATATGCAATTATTTTTTATGTTGTTCTATTCAATTTTTTGCTAGTATATTTTCGGCGCGGCCGCCTCGTCACCTGCCCTTTCCCGTGCGGCGTGACGCTCTCGTGACGCGCTCCCTCGCGGCAGGAGCCTCTTCCCAGGCGACCCTCGTTCGGACGCTTCCAACGGGCCCTGTGACATTCTAATCGAGCGCTCTTTGAAATTTCTGGCTGCTTTGGAACGGTTCGGCGCCGGTGGTTGCTTAACGGTCATCGGCCGATGTGGGAATTGATTATTCCCCCTCACTGCTGTCGTGAAGTAACAAGAAATTGTGCTTTAAGCGTTCTTCTGATTTCTTTTTTTACTTTCACTAGAATAACGGGTTGAGTGATGTAAAAAAAAATATTCTCAGTTACTGACGGCAAGTCATTAACAATGTATCATTCGTGGCTATTATGTTAACGGGTACCCAACATGTACTCATTATTTATATAAGTACGTATTTTGTTCTTAAATAGTTGTAGTACATACCAGGAACTGACACACATTTTCTTCTTTATGTCTTCCTTTTCTAATTTTAATTATATACTTTTTAAAATTTAAACAGAAAAATATGCAATTATATACCTTTTTAAACAAGATTGTGTGACAAGATTCAAACTTTTCTACTGCCTCTCTTAAGTTGCCTAGCGGAGTTTCATGATTCGTCGTTTTTATTATTTTAGTAGGGTGTCGGTATGAAACGTATCTCCAGACAGTTTCTTGTAACTGCCAAAATAATTCTTGCAAATACCCCTGAAGGAAAATGAGTACCTTTAACGAGATGTTGATCTCAATTTGAAGAAAATATAATGTTTTCATGGTTTCAGCACTTAGATTTAGCAAATAGATACATTATACTGTATTGACTGGATGTGTTGGAATAGAACAGTTAATAAATTTTGTACCACGATTAGTGTTTTACTTACATTAAGGTATCCTGATTTATTTCCTAATTCGCACAAACAATATTCTTTAGATTGTTTTTCATTTAAAAAGGGAATTTAGTGAATAATTTTATATATTGTAATACAATACTACTAAGTATACATGATTTTAAGACTAGTATATGCACCATAATTGTAATATTAGACATGTTTCCCTGGAGGACGAATGTTTATTTTGTATTTGTCGAAACTAGGGCTGATTTCCTTCTGACATGTACTGTGAAAAGGAAGGATTAATTTTGGCGTGTTGCACTTCCTATGAAGAGTAACTAATCGAAAACTCGATCTAGATGACTACTAACGTCATGATGTATAACACAATTTCCGGAAGGTTGCTTGTGCATGCTACCACTGTGAAGCCCCACCAGTGTTCGTAACAAAACCCACTCCCCTTTTCAAAGCCACGTTTGCAACGTACCGGGCTTGTGAGGGAATTGAATCATTATTAATTCCGCTCCGTGCTCTACCCCGTCCCTTCCCGATTTTATGATTCCATTCTGTTCTTGTTAGTCTCGGTTAGCTAATGGTTAAAACTGTTCGAATATTCCTTTTGCATTTGTGACTGAAAATCACGATATTCAGAGATGCTTCGAATGAGTGTCCCGGGAACTACTCAGAATGTTTCCATGCATTTCCCTTCACAAAATTCATGCTATACTTGTAACTGTCTACATAGGACAAATGAACCAATGGATATTGATTCCTCGGAGCTTACTAATAGTAATTTCTTTCAGAAAATATTACGTTCGAAACTTTTTGCATTAATTTTCTATAATATGTTATAGAAATTATTAATTCTGTATATACTTTGGAACAAGAGCTCTTTACGAGCTAAGGCCTCCCAGTAGCGTCGCGGCCTTGCGGCCATCGGTTAAGTTGTACGGGTGGTTAGCACATAGCCATCCTTACGCTGTATTCTGTCTTCTCAACGAGAGAAATGAGCTTTCTCGCCGTCACGCAGTCACAGATCCTGGGACATTGCAAGGAAACTGCACAGTTAATTTTTGCCTTGACCGGGAATCGAATCCTTGGTTGCGCCGTTGAAAGGAACCACGATATCCAACGAGCTTACGCGGGTACAATTGTCTCTAATATAATTAGTTCAAAACATAAAGTCTTAATGAAGAGACAAGTGGTGACCGGCTCTGTCACGGTTGTAATTTTTGAAATAAAATTCAAGATATTATACATTACTAAATTAACATTATATTTGAATTAACATGATATTCAATTTAGTAGGAAACAATAATTTAATTACTAAAGTAATTAAATCATTGTTTTTCAAGTATTCATGGGTAATCTCCAATGGAAACTGCAAGTAGATTCCATGGAAATCCACGGAGATTCAACAGGTATAATGAATCTTCATGAATACTTCAATATTGAAACTGAAAATTGATTTTTGTTTTATTCATTTACTAGTTGAAAATAAACAACAGTACCTCTGGACGTTCGAAATCGTGCACGCAATTCTCATTGTTATTACAAACACCGTCATCATCATTGATATAGTACGAGGAAAAATCATATTAATGTGCAAAATACGTGTTTTTTAATTACATCGCCACAGATACATTTGCACTTATTGGTGTATTTCGCAACCATCTACCTGTCGTGTAGAAAATTACACATTTCACTGTTTCGAAAACAAAAGTTCGCTCGTCGGGTCCCCGATAAGAGTCGTTCGAAAAGCCACGCGCGTTTAACACGGCAGTTGTGGAAATGACTATCACGTGACGGTGCTGCAGAGGAGAGCGGCGGTGACAGGAAATTATTACACGACACTTTATTCAGCCACCGGCCAGTCGGGCCACGCGTCTATACACGCCGTGCGGAAATAACGCGGGCGACGTGCGCGCCTCTGTGGCAAGGTGCCGCAGCGCGTACCCTCATTAACGCCGGGCGCGCGATTCGCACGCCCACGCCCAACTTTCGATTTGGGCCTCCGCAGCGCACGGCGATGCGGGAAACCCTCGCTCTGCGGTCCGGGGCGATGACAGACCCGCATAGCCCAGACCACGTCGTTCGTTTGGAGGTGTGCGCGCGGGTTTTAATTACTCTCTTGTTGACTTGTGGATACAGATTTCGCAGAAGTGAGCATGCGGCTAAGAAATGAACTAAATGTTCCTGTGCATCTTCCTACAATAAAGGTTTTACTCGTTATTTAAAGTATCATTCTTCATGTTCTCGCTGTAGCAAGTCGATTCCTTCACGAAGGGCACGATGAGGGATAATGGCTAGAATCTGTAGCTGAGTTGATTTTGCAAATCGTTTTTATTATACCGAAGCGAATATTTTCTCAGTGCCAAATCTTGGCAAAAACGTTCGTCACATTTATTCATATTTTAACTTGTATACAGGTAGGTATATCAGAATTTATGAAAACGTGCAAGGAATACACTATTATTTACAGAACTACACACAGTTTCTCTATTTCGTTTCATTTCGTTGCGATACGTTAGAACAATATTACGAAATATTATTAACTAAAATTAATGTCAGCTTACCGTTGTTTCCATTTCGCCCGGCCAGGTCAGAATGTATCAGCTCGAGTTGTGCCTGTGAGGCTGCGTGATCGCCTTGGAAGCGCCCGCTCTCCGGTTCGATTCCCGGCGGGCACCCTCGATACCCTGTTTACCCAGCGGCGACACGCCAACTGGGGATCTATCTAGTTTAATGGCAGAGAAATTCGATCATGAAAGCTAAATACGCCCTAGATGGGACGCGATGTGTTGATCACGTGTGGTCTGAGAATGAGCCCAATTGGTCAACTGAGATATTGAATGTCAATTGCTACCAGTTGTTTTATAATATCCGTGTTTGGGAAGTACTATTTTATCCGCAAATTTTTATTTTAAACTGTATGTATATCCTCTTCAACAGCGATACGATTTGTAAGCCTTTAATCCATTATAGTTTCTAAACGTCCTTATGTATGATAGATCTCAGTTCTTATACGAAGCCTAATATGTTGGCTACTAGTCGGTATTTTCTTCATCGAAGCTTTTCACACTACGTATAATCGTGTAGGAATCCACACGCAGAGCGATCAGTGTGTGGATGTATTAATTATCTGAAAATCACGAATATTAGCGCCAAAATGCGAATTTCTGATGCAAGCACCAATTTACTTCTTTTGAAATTAAAACAACCTTCTTATATGTATGTACGTTACCCTCGGTGGCTCGTTGGTTAGCGTGCTCGCAACCCCGTGTTCGACTCCCGCCCGGGGCAAAATTATAACTGTGCGCTTTCCTTGCATTTGTCTCAGTATCTATTGCTGTATGACGATGAGGAAGATCACCCTAAGGTTAAGAAGACCAGTATATACGATGGAGGGATGTCTTCGTGCAAACCCATTATGCCATGACCGAGAGGCTGGGCCACCGCTGGTCGGTCAACTCCCGTATGGGGCTCCCGAGCCAAAGGACTGGGCAGGTCAGGACCCTTTAACGTTAAAGTCTTTCGATGGTGAAACCATTACTGGTATTACTGCCACAACGGAGCAGTCCCCAAAGTCGGACGCTATACGCATTTGTAGCTTTCAAAATATGTGTTCTCGCAGGGAAATATTTACACCTCAACAAGACGACAACCGCCTTATAAAAAGGAGTGCGTGTGTCTCCCTTACACATCACAATTTAACGTTGAAAATTATAAAATTCATAGTATGTGCTATGTGCCGAGAATATTTGTAATTGCGCAAGAGTATTTGACACAAAAAATGTCAAAATGACCTTGACACCTTCGGATTTGTTATGTACTATTTTATAAAAAAATTAACTAGGAAAACAATTTAATTATCAGTATTTCAATCTATATATTAATTGACAAAAATCATGTATACCTTTTGAAACGTATATGCAATTATTTTTTATATTGTTCTATACAATTTTTTGCTAGTATATTTTCTGCCCGGCAGTAATCAAAACATTTAATTGAAGCGTTTGTGGAAAGTATGTATCGTATTCATATCAAACAGCACGTGGACGCCACATTTTTTCTCTCTCTCGCCAAATGACCACAAATGGAATGAACTGTTTTTATGGAAAAATTCTGAATGGGTCTATTGTCAAATGCTTATGTAAACACTTGCCGAAATTGCTCACTCTCTCTATCGGTACGCCTGACGTTTCTTTCTTTCAGAGGATACAAGAATTACCTCCACAGTCATTGCAATTGTTTATAATGTCTCGTCTATTGATTATTTTATAATTGATTGAAATCGTTTTAAAATTCTAACATTGAAATACACATTTTATTTTACACTTTATTTGATCAATCATTAATGACTTTTCGTGATATATTACGTTTCGTAGTCAAAAAATGTATGTGGTTGTACTTGAAAAAAAGATTCCTTAAACACACTCTCAGCGAATGCGTTGGAAATCAATATAGTACTTTATCGTAAGCGCCTTTAGGTGAAATATCTAATGCCAAAAACAGCATTCTGATATTTTAAACGGTTCAAAACATATTTGGTGCCGTAGAAGTTACTGAATCGCTACTTAATTAGGGCATTTTTGGTAGCAACGATTGATTAAATAATTTCGCATCGTTTACCTAAACCTCTCTTCAAAGTGCACTATGTCATGTTCCAAAACTGCACAGTAAGGACCCTTGTCAGTACTGCAGTAATGTCTACATATGACCGAAAGAGTAAATGATGCAATAAATTTATTAATTACATGATTTAATTATTACGATAGAAAATACCGTACGTAATTGTTGGCGAAGGCATATAAGTTTTGAAATTTGTCAATAGGGGAACGATCATATTTGTAAGGAACGATTGATGTCAAAAACACTGTATTGTTGGCGTGTTGTTCGGACCATGCATCGTTATTATTCTTTATGTATGTCTGCATTTCATCCTGGTCCTTAATTATAGTGAACTCGATTTAAGAGCTCATCGTGTAATTAATTTACCTACCGTCCTTCAAGTCTTTCAAAGACAACTTTCACTCGAAAAGCAATTTGTTTAGCAATGTAGATCCGCGTGGTAAGAAATTGTAACGACAGCTGACCCTGTTTCAGTTTTCTGTAAATGTTTACATTATCTTGTATTTATTTGAATATATTTCAATGGCGAGTTTCATCTACTTAAATGTTTTGTTTCTATAATGTGTGTCAGTTTATATGTTCATTTGCATAGATTTTATTCGTTCATTGATTAAAAAATAATTGTTATCTACAGTACGTTTCAGTAATTGTTCGCAAAACATATAGTCAGCAATTTCTGTCAGACACCGAATTTTATCTTCTGGTCTTGTAAAATTTGATATTGGTATGATAAGCCCTGTAGTAAAATATTTTATATGGGCTGGAATATATCTTCCAAAATGTCATTTATAAAAAGTACCTTTCGCCATGAATAAACATTTTTAAACGTGATTTATCAATGCTTAGTCACTTACAATGCTTAGTCACGTTCTTGAAAAATAAAAAGCAATCGTTATTTTTAATCTTAGTGAGAACTTGTCAAAGTTGATCTGTATATACTATAATAGACCAAAGCTCCAAATTATATTCTGATCCCTTAGAGGATCAAGTTACCCTAAATTCGAATCCTGGTTTGTTTATCAGTAGAAAAGGCAAAGTGCAGATGTTCGTTAATAAAGCATGTCATCTGGTACGTAAAATGTTGTAAATGCTTATTTGTATCCTCTATGATTGTGAATAGAAGGTATTGGATAATGTCTTCTATAAATTTTGCAAACATTTCTCTAAAAATGATATGATTTCTTGATAATGGAAAGGTAACTACACTTTTTCTGTGATTTTATAGTTTAAAAGTTGTCACATTTCCTAATTTGAAAATCTTAGAATAGTTCACTTTTCTCCCTGCACAAAATTGTGCACCAATTTTTGATTAGTAAGGAGAGATGATCATCGTTAGCTAAAAACCTAATTACTTAATACACAATTATAATTCTTGTTGGTTTTAGCGCTGAGAAATATAGCATGAAATTTCCTTTTTTGCCTATATTTTATACACAAAGCATAAGAGATGACTTTCATAAATTGATTTACCTAATTGCAATTTCCGTTTTCTGGTCACCAGGCATATGCAGAAGGAATTAAAAATTGATGAAGTTTGATCAGTGCTCGATCATTCCCAATTAATTTCCCAATTTTTCTCGAGTGTTGGGCGTTTGGTGTATTTTTAGTGAACGTGGAATGGGTTCACACAAGGGTAAATGGATTACCATAGTGAGAGAGGGTTACTGCTCGTTGCTAAGCCATACACGTGCACATGTCTGAACACAATTTATTCGAATTAAATCCAAAGTATTACAACAATAGTAGAAAACACTTCTGAAAAAGGCGCATTTCGAATTTATAATTATTCGTCTAGTCCAGTTTTAGCGGAGTGGCTTCTGTCCATTTTAATGTTTATAAATATTACATATTATTAATTCAGAATTGATGATTAAATACATTTTTAATTAATTCAGTTAGCCTAAAATTTTACTAATTCGGTTTTCTTATGTTCGGAATATTTGCTTCGTTTACCCAGCTTTAATTCAAGCGCTTCATTGTATATTATTTTTCACTGCTATTATCCGCAGCTGAAATGTAGATATTTGAGGACTGAAATCCAAGCTCGAGACCTTAGACATTTAGATTTTATGATTTTTTAACGGCTTAACAGCCTTCCATACAGCGATATATCCGTTGTACTAAGAAAAATGTTTAAATTCTGTGGCAAAAATTAAAATTATTTTCAAGGATAATAAGCAAGTATACATTGAATAGAATATAGAACGGTAAAAAAACTGTGGTTGAGAGAAAAGGAAAATTATTTTCCCTTTATAACTGAATCAGAAGTTAAAGTGAGGTCCTCGAAAGTAGGGTTTTAATTTTTTTAAGGAAAGGAAAAATATTTTCCATTTATAACTGAAGCAGAAGTTAAAGTGAGGTCCTCGAAAGTAGGGTTTTCATTTTTTTAATGTGATATAAGTGCTACTTTAATCACTCTTTTTTTCTATGCTAAAATATGCCTCTTGCTGTGCTTCCGTTCCTACACCCCAATCAACGTGGACCTTCATTTTTGGAGTTGCACTCTCACTGAAGACAGAACATTTGATTGCAAGTACAGAAACTGCAGTCGCGGGCGACAATGACCATCGCAATGATGAAGGCAAATGGTACGAGCCAATGATGGCCAGTGAGAACGGAAATTAATTCACTGTCCTTCCTCATTGTAGGTATTCCTCATTACCTGGTTTCTATTTCTGCTATCACTGCTTTTTATTTCCCTTAATTGTAGAAAAAAGTTAAATTGTCGATAGTCATAGCAACCAGTCAACGTGGCTTAAGCGTACACAAGTATTTGATATTGAACTAAAAGAACGAAAAATGGTTTGATCAAGTTTAATATGGCAAGGGTATTAATTTCGCTTTAATAGCTCACGATAATAACACCCGCGCAATCGCGCCTTGTGACCTAACCTTTCCCTATCGTGAATAAAGCTGTATTTGAACCTCTTCATGTAACTATTATTGACCAGAAGTATGGTATTTCTGATTATAAATGTTGGTAATTTTTTGAGGAATGATAAACATCAGTATGGCTGCTCAATATGATGATCATAATTGCGCCAATTTGCTGAGACGCGTTCGTTTTCTTTCTTGTACAGTTCTTGACGAATTATGTTGAAACATTCCAAGGATGTACATATGTCATGTGGAATCCTTCAGAGCTTCATGTGGAATTCTTCAGAGCGTACTGCTATACGCTCCGGCTATACGCTATACGGCCGCGGAAGTCTACGCAAACATACCTGTCTGTCTGTTCGTCTGTGAACAACGCTACGGTCTAAACTCTAAGCAGGTTTTTCATCAACATCGATATTCTCCTTCGATGTGACTGTTATCGCTCATAGGTGGCTGATTTTGATTATTCGGTTTCTTTACATTGTACCTCAACGACTTCTCCCAAAAAATTGCTCCAAATTTTTCTTTACTTATCATTTCGATAGAGAAAAGTACAGTTTAACAGTAGCGCATAGATTTTCGTCGAAATTTCTAAAATTCTCGAAAGTTGCAAATGTATGACTCATCCTGAATAGTTTTATCAATGCCGTTGAAACAACACAGCCAGAAAGTAATTGCATGCCCTGCGAGTGTTGCATGTAACAGTTGTCAGACACTGTTGCCTAACACTGTGGCGTGCGTGTGTTGCAGACACAACGACCTGCCCTGGAACATCCGCAAGTTCGTGCACAACCAGCTGCGTGAGTTCAACTTCGCGGCCGACCTGCGCGCCGTGGTGCCCTGGTCCAAGAGCCCCTGGTCGCACACCGACCTGCAGCGCATGCGCCGCGGCATGGTGGGCGGACAGGTGAGTTTGCGCACTGAACGAATCATGTTCTCCCTCTCCTCCCTGTCCTCCCTTTCTCTTCGCTCTCTCCTCCCTCTTTCCTCTCCCGCTCGGCACCCGCTCGGCCCCCGCTCGGCCCGCCTCGGCCCCCGCCTCTACGGCCCCTGCCGCTCCTGGGCCCCCGCTCGGCCCCGCTCGGGCCCCCGCTCCCCCCGGTCCCCCGCTCGGGCCCCCGCCCTCAGGACGCCCGCTCGGCCCCCGCTGCGGCCCCCGCTCGGCCCCTCCGCTCGGCCCCCGCTCGCCCCCGCTCGGCCCCCCCCGCTCCGCCCCCGCTCGCCCCGCTCCGGCCCCGCTCGCTGGCCCCCGCTCGGCCGCGCCCGCTCGGCCCCCCCGCACTCGGCGTCCGCGGCCCCCCGCTCGGCCCCCTCCTCGGGCCCGCCGCTCGGGCCCCCGCTCGGGCCCCCGCGCTCCGCCCCCCGCCCGGCCCCTCCCCGCGTCGGCCTCCCCGCTCGCGCCCCCCGCTCCCGGACCCCTCCCCCGCTCGGCTCCCCGCTCGGCGCCCCTCCGCATCGCCCCCGCTCGGCCCCCGCTCTCCCCCGCTCGGCCCCCCCGCTCCGCCCCCGCTCGGCCCCCCGGCTCGGCCCTCTCCGCTCGGCCCCGCTCGGGGGGGGGAGGGGGCCCCTCCTGCGCCCCTCGCCCCCTCGGCCCCCCCGCTCGGCCGCCCCGCTCCCGGCCCCCCGCTCGGCCCCCTCGCTCCCCCCGGCTCGGCCCCCGGCTCGGCCCCCGCCCCCGCCTCGGCCTCACCTGCCGCTCGGCCAGCCGCTCCGCGCCCCCGCTCGGCCCGCTCGGCCCCCGCCGCCCCCCCGCTCGGCCCCGCTCGCGACCAGTTCTCTTATGGAGGGTTGATAATTCCGAAACTATTAAGTTAGTGCCAAACGGATTGATGTGAAAGATATTATTGAAATATTTCTTAACCCAACATTTACATTACCATACAATTGCCCTGTACCTTCATATATAACGCACATGGCTGTCCCGCACCCAATTATTGCTTTCTCGCACCCTACATACTAATGTAGTTAAGAGTTGTATAGATCTGCCGAAAGAATTTCCATAGGAAAGCTCGTATTCTGGGCCCCTCATGTTGTAAAGTAGACAACTCCTTTACGATGAAATTTTATTCTTGTACGTTGTGTAGTGAGAATCCATGTATGTGCTTGATATAAAACAACGTTTTACGGCAAAAAGCGTTCGTCTGTGCTGATCGCTTCCGCCTAAACAGTTTAGACGATTTTCTCCGAAATCGTCATTCTCGGATTGATTGATTGCGTATTTTGTTTATACGGGCGCATCAACTGCGAGTGTCATTAGTCCCATAAGTGCAGTGCGTGTTTTTATCACGGCAAGTGGCGGTGATCTACCAACAGATCGTGAAATTCAGCAATACTGGATTTTTCTCATTCCCCCACCAGTGTTCTCTCACCAGCGAGCACCATCCGAGCAGGGACTAGCTCTAGGTTCGTGACTGGTTATCCCGGTATGTCTGGAAGTGTAGTGCATGTAATTGCGAATGCCTATAAGTGATAGTTGAGAATATGAAGGAAGAAGGACAGATTGCTTATGGTCCGTGGCCACTTTGTTAGTGTACTACTCCAGCATTCGCCTGGTCTTGATCGGAGAAGCCAAGAAACTACCGATCAGAGCAGCCGGCCGCTAGAATCCACCTCTGGAGAGTGGCTGAATCTAGCCGCTGTCCAATCAAGCAGCCTGCTGCTTGGTGGGAATTGCACGCATTTCCAGTGCTCGAGCGGGGCACGGGCTTTTTTTTTTTTCGTTTTTTGAAATAAAATTCGAGAAAGAATATCATTTGGTTTTTGTTTTCCACCACCCTTGCTAACTTGCCGAACCCGGAAAGAAAACAACCATGGTAATACGCTCTTTTGTTGTCGGACGACACGCGGAACAAACTCAATTTGAAGCAGCCTCAGAACAAAAGCCCTGCGATGGAGAAGCGGGAAAGAAGATGCATACGGGAAATTAGTTGTCTTTGTTTGCGTGTGCGTATTGTATCTAGAATGCCCCCTTCGCAGTTTCTTTGACAACCCCCCTCCCCGCTACCCAGAGAGGAAGAGGTTCTGTCAGTCACAAAACGGAAGAAATGGAAATGGTTGCAACTCTTCTGCGTTTCGTATTTTGAAGAGTATATTGACCTCTTGAAGGTTTGGTTTACGTACATTCCAATAAAAAAATGATGTGTGTTGTTCATTAAAAGGACAAATTGAATTTTAAATACTCATATATGAAAGTGAAGGAAATCAAAAAATAATTGTTGTTTGGTTTTCGTACTTCAAATGGGGTTAAATTAATTCTCGGTTATTCGAAGTATTTAATTTTACTTGTATTCGACTGCAAAGCTACCTGTTTCACATGAGTATTTAAGCAAATTGAACGATACGAGTAAAAACTGTGGCGTACAATGATAAACAATACCCTACTCTGGTTTATTACGTTTATTATTCCTTAAAACATAATGATAGTAACTCAATGAAATGACTTGTACCTTCATATCTGCCAACAATATTTTTGTGCCAAAAAAGTCAATAAACCCACACCAATAAATACTAAAACATTTCAAATAGTAGACCATACTTAGAAAATCTATTTTCTTGGGCATAATATGAAAACAAAAATGAAAAACGATTAATTTATTGATATTTTAGTAGGCTATTACTAAAAGCACAAGTATCAAATACATCACAAAACCAAAACTAAAACTATTTTCCAGAGTGTTATTTTAAAGCAACATGTCTGTGATTAGCGGCAACGAATGTGAACAATGTGCATGTTGCATTCCTCGCACACGTCATCCATTGACTGAGTGAAATTTCATTGTCTAGAAAGCCGTATTAAAGGGAAACGCAGGAAAGGTGATCCACATTTTACGTGAACCCAGTACCTGATAAACAATATGAAAATTTAATTTCAATTATTCTTCAACGAATCCTCTATAACTTAAAATAATTCCAGCTTTATGTATTTTCCATAAGTTGTTTCCAGGTAATATACATTTAAATTTCTCTAATTACAGATTTGCTTAATCATTTTCCACAAGCAGTTTATACGTAGATCAGTAAATTGGCTGTACTTACCCAGAGAACATTGTGATAGATAGAAATAAGAAACACATGTTAATTGTTTTATTTTACCATACAACGTATTTTAGGTATCGCCCTGAGTTTTCAAAGTATTGTAGTTTTGTAAGGTAAAATTATTGAAAAAAATCTTCCTTAAGGAGCTTATTATTTTAATTCACGTAATTCACCTTCACGTAATAGATATGAAAATATAATATAAATAATATATTGGAGGAAATATATATAATACGTAAATAAAACAAGTATATAATAAAATCTATAATATAAATTAAATAATTAGTTAATATCGCGGTGACTAGGGAATGATTCACATAGAATATCAAACACAAGGAATCGAAAATAAATCGGTGTTAATTGTATCGTCACTATGCACACGTTTTATTGAATTCTCCTTTTGCTTGAAGTGGTAGGAGCAGAGGTAGGGCGAGTTACCCTTTTGTTAGCAAGGCAGAAAATAAAATCTGCAGTTCGTTTACCGTTGCAAATAAGTTTTCTATAACTCGGGAACAAAAATGTCTAGGTTTTCATATGTGGCTAATCTCGCGCTTTCTTTAAATTTAATTTTTATTTATTTATCATTAACTTTTACTCATATTTCAACTATTGATAGTTGAAATGAAAGGAATTCAGGAACTCAAGAAAACGTGCGCAGAAGATCTTTTCCACCATACGTCACATAGTTTTACTGTTTTTTTGACTAAATAAATCTCATCAATAATGCATATGGGAAAACCAATAAGAGAATGCTGTCGATACGATGATGCAAACTAGAAAATATTAACACAACGAATGATGATTATGATGATCTAACAAAATTTTTCAAATTCTTGTACATATTTGTGTCGGAAAAATCGACTTTTCCCCTCGAGACATGATATCATGCTTGTCGCACAGGCAAGCTCAGCGGACTACGGATCATATTTTTATTTACTTATTTATTCAACATCAACCAAGAGTGGTGTTTTATGGGGCGCTGTGTTTAAGGAAATATGTTTCATGGGACTCTGTGGTGTTTTATGGGGAAGAAGTGTAACCCTTGAACGATTGCTTGAGCTCTGGAATCTTTGCCCCAGCTCTTATATTACATCAAGTTGAATAATGCATTCAGGTATCAACGAGCGTTTTTGTGGCGAGATTTGGTAATGTGTAGAATAAGAAAATATTTCCACTCGTATAAGAATAACTAATTACTACAGCCAATCGGCTACGGCTTGTGACTCTTCTCATATAGTACCCCACATGAAGGAATCGTAATACTGCCATGAATACATGGAGAACGATTATTTAATTTTTTTTTATATGTGACATGGTAAAGGCGGTATTATATATGGTGGCGCTTTACTATCATCCGCTTGCCACTATGTTCAATTGCTGAGAATTTCTTTAAGTTAGGAAATCAGAAGAGATTATAATCTTATTCATTGTCAGATTTTTCGGGGTTTCTCTTACACTCATACGTATTCTGTCATATTTATTATATTATTACTTATTATTGTTTTGAGACAAAGTCAAATAAAATAATTATATTTTAGTATGATGGTTAATTTTGACCAGTAATATAAATTGTACGGTTTTATATTGAATACGTGAAGTGTTTCATTAGTCCTTATTTTTATCATTCGTCGGGTTTATTCTTTTCAAATAATTAGAGAAATGTTATACAACTGAATCGTTAATTACGTACCAAAAGATACTAAAAAACAGAAGATATTAAAATAAAATACTAGAATGTTATGGGCTATTTCAAACTTGATTCCATTGAATTATGTTTTACTTTTTTTTTTCAAAAGCATTGTACTCTGCGTTTTTGTGTTGGTTGTGGTGATATAAAATTTCCTTAGCGTAGTCATAAATGTGTCATTAACC